ACCACCACCTCTACTGTCCACATCAGCAGCAATACCTTCATCACAGTAACATTCATTGACCACTTACTGAATGCCATATACCAGCCAATGTATTTTACACACAAAATTTCATTTATTTCTCAGTACCTAACAGTTACTCTTATTCTTTTAGATCCTAATTTTATAAGTAAAAAAATTAAGTGACCTGTTGAAAACTCATCATTTTCCCACTTTACACCCTGGGTTCTACTGTTACCCACAATGTTAAACTGCTCTGTAAATTATAAATGCTACAGACTTAAAAGCAGTCATCATCATTATTAGCAATAATATGATTTACTGTTTGAGCAGCAGTTCATACTGAACATTTCCTGATATAGACAATTCATTCTTATAAAAAAACAAATGACTGTAAACAACTCACAGACTCTGACATAATCCATTTTCTTACATATTTTAGTTGTATCACTTAGTGCCAAATGAATGAAATATTTTGTATGTATAATCAGACAATTTATTTGTTAATCCTATTTCTTCTAAAATTCATGTCATGTCCTAGTTACTCTTTATTACATTTTAAAATTTGTGTGCGTGTGTGCATGCTAAAGTATCTTCAGTCCTGTCAGTCTCTCTGTGACCCCATGGACTGTAGCTTGCCAGGTTCCTCTGTCCATGGAGATTCTCCAGGCAACAATACTGGATTGGGTTGAAATGTCCTTCTCGAGGAGATCTTCCCAACCCAGGTATCAAACCCCTGTCTCCTATGGCTCCTGCATTACAGGCGAATTCTTTACTGCTGAGCCACCCAGGATGCCCTTTAAACTTCAGGGTAATGATTTGTGTATTTCTTTAGCAAAACAGACAAATTTAAGAAAACTTGTGTTTTGAAGAATCCTTCCCAAAACAAAACGAAACTGAATTTGGGAGCATTCTGTTAGATAGTTAGAATAGGAAAAAGGAGTCCAAGATGGCAGTGGCTAAAAGACAAAGGAAAAAGTCCAAGAAAGTGGAACAAAAGAAAATCCATGTACTGGAGTGAGAAATTCAGGTGAAACAAACATGCCCCCTTCTTGGCTAGCCCAATTGGCATAGGGTAGGCTCAAGGCAGGGGGAGGGAACAAAAACATAAAAGGAGGAAGTCAAGAGGGGCTGCGGTCTCTCCTTTTGGGGTCAGCCTGCCCTCAAGCCTCAAGGGTGTACTATCCTTTATTTGCAGAATAAAACTGAGCTGTAACCAAGTTGTAACGCTAGTCCACCATTTCAAATCTTTGCTGCAACAAGACAGAACCAAGGAAGTTACACATGCGCACCGACAGAACCATCAAAATGTGGCAGAATAGGGTAAGGTAATAAATTGACACTCCATTGATAAAATAAATGACTTAACCTCAAGTTGTTATAGATTTACAGTTTAGAATTACATTGAAATTAATGCTGATTCAAATTCACTGTTTTGAGTTTCTGACATACTTTCAGCTGATTTGGTTACAATTTTTTTCTGTAATTGAAATCTTTTATTACATTTTTAGGTTATTGCTCTCGACACAATTTTATGCTTTGAAAGTGATATGTTTCTCATACCTAAATGTTCCTCTTATGATATATTATTACTTTAACATCATTTTCTCAATGTAATAGTAGTCTTTATGTCCCCATATAGGAAATTTGCTGTTTTAATCCTTAATTTGGAAAGACCCCAAATAACTCTGACGATTGTGAATGAAGGTCAAGCTATTCATTTAACTTTTTTTTTTTTCCTAGTTGTAGGTTGTATGAGTGAAGGACATACTTGATGCAGATTACATGAATGGTGAACATATTTATAACAAAATAAACAATGATTTGAAACTGTGCCCCAATGTGAAATACACATGACCCTAAATTTTCAAAGCATTAACAATTTTCTGACATCTCCCTGTTAGGGAAATTAAATAGTCTTTTTAAGCTTAAGAGAAAATGCAGAGCAGGCCTCTGACCTTGCTTCTAACCTGCCTGGGCCTGTCCTGACTGTGAGTGCCCAGACTGCCTGGTGTGAGTGCAAGACTTGCAGCACCATAGATAAGACAGGTAAGGAATCTTGAAACTGTTGAGGCCCTGGAGGGGGCCTGGCCAACCAAGCCCTGGGTCTTAACAACATTCCAAGTTTTACATCACAAAAAACCCCACCATTAACATGAAAGCAGAGCTTCAATTTGCTCACAGGTTGATGACTGAGGGATTATAAATCCTGAACTGCAATTTTAAAAAGACTCATCCAGAGAGTGGACTCACTGCCTGGGACCTTTTCCCAATTGGGACTCAGTATGTGCTGTGACATGACATTTCCCAGTGCTGTTTAAGTCTGGATGCCAGCAAATTCAATTTGGTGAAGTATGTATTATTGCTCTTGTTTGCTGTTTCTGTTTCTCTTTCCTTTTAATGTTAATAAGAAAGTAAGCAGGATAGTTCTCTAATGAATAGTGGCATTATTTATTTGTATATAATGTGTGACTTATTTTGTTAGCAAATCCTTTGACTCTGAGACAACATTGAAAACTTTTGGCAAAATACTCCCTTTCTGCTTACAAATAGCTGAAGTACTTCTAACAGATACAAATGACCTAAAATATATGTAAGAAAACAAGTTGTCATATGTAATTGAAATACTCTTCTAAAGCATATAAAATATATACATTTAAACTTTTGTTTTGCACTCATATTTTTAGAATGTACAATTGTCCAAATAGCTATGTGTATTCTTATAATGCTTTATGGAATTCTTTCTACTGTTATTTAAACCTTAGCCTCTTATTTTAATATTTCAGCATTTATTTTTTATATCCAATTAGATCATATTCTTACTAAAACTTGACACTGCCGAAGATTACATTTTGCAAGTGTGCCTGTCAATTGTTAAGAATAAAAATGCACTATTATCTTTGATATTTGTTATTAAATTAAACCAATTTACAGATTTAAGCATATAATTCATGGTAACAAAACATTAACTAATTGTGTCCAAATCTTACTTTTACTTAAATAAAAACACCTTTCAGTATTATTGCTAATAGCATTTTCACCAGAGGTATTGAAATATGGAAAATTTGAGTGATCTTAGTTTGATGCCATTGTATTTAACTGTTAACCAAGGAGTTAGCAGTAAATAGAAAAGGGAGCAAGAAAAATGGAAAATTCACAACTATGCATTTGACTTCTGTAAAATAAAAAATTTATTACACTCATATTTTTGTAATAGAAATTCATAATCCCATTTCTCTTTCAGAACTTTTGCTTTGACAAAGAGATGGCACCACACTTATTAAACTCAATGTGATGTTTACAAATAGTTGATGAGGGACATTCTATGGTGAACTGAAATAAATAAGACAAGGCTCACATGTCATTTTCAAACATAAAACAAAGTAATGCATTTCAAATGGAATGGCTTATACTAATATGTCATATATATTTTGATGATATGAGAAAATTCAATACATTCAAAAAAATGATAACTAAGCAATGTAAAGTATATGTTCTTACTAGGATACTACAAATTCATTTTCTTCTGTTATAATGAAAGATTTGTGTGAGGTTTTTGTTTCTTTGTTTTTGTTTGTTTTTTCATATTTCTGAGCAACAATCATTAAAAATTCATTTCAACCATATATGATTCAACCAAATGAAACACTGATCTTACAGCTTGTAATTCACTCCCCAATCTCACTTGCACTAAGAAAGAGCTTTTTCTTTTTTTTCCTAAACAAAATATCCATTATGTGCGAGATAAGTCACTTCAGTTGTATCCAACTCTTTGTGATCCTATAGAGTGTAGCCCACCAGGCCCCTCTGTCCATGGGATTCTCCAGGCAAGAATATTTGAGTGGGCTGCCAGGCCCTCCTCCAGGGTGTCTTCCCAACCCAGGGATCAAACCCCATCTCTTGCATTGCAGATGGATTCCTTACCACAGGTGCTACCTGGGAAACCCAATGTCCATGAGTAATCCATGTCAATTCTAGGCAGCATAGATCCTTGGGCCTGACTGTAATCCAATCATTCATAAATTATTTCATTAGAGACATGCAACTTAAAATTATATTTCTCAGACTTGAATGGGAAAAGCATATATTCCAGAGATATTTTTCAAATATTCCAAAATTACTTAAGGAATTGTTTAAATGGGCTCTAATGCTGACTTCAATTATTTTAGCTATATGTTTACTGAGACCGAAACATAAATCAAAACATAAACTCCTAATTTTTATAGATGAAATAAAAAACACAGCCTTAAACAACATATGCAACATTATTGTAACATAATGGAAGATAATATTTTATCAAATCACCATATGCAACACCAGGTGATAATGACTGGTAATGCATGAGACTTTTGAATTTGTCATACACAGACTGTTGTGTAACTATGTGATTCTCTCATCATTTTTCCCCATTTGTAGTCCTATGCTCTGCTTTGGTTTTATGTATCAATGACAGACCTTTATATGGTAGAAAGTTCTCTGCACATTCCTCATTTGCATGTAGCAACTGAAATAATTCTATAGTGTTTTTCATTAACATAATTAAAGCAATGATGCAAATTTAGCTTGACAGTATTCTGTCATAAAGGGATTACCCAGGATATCAAGAATATGTTTATATTATTTTTAATACTAACATTGAAATGTGAACCCAGCATCTAAAAATTATCATAGATAACTTCTGGGTCCTCAAAACTGGAGACCCAAAATGAAAACCAAAATTAACTAACTGAATGAAAGTATTTACTTTCTTCATAATCTGGTGAAATTCCAGTTGGTGCTGAAATATCACAGAAACAAAGAAGTATGGCCATTTTGAGTTAGAACTTTTTCCTTTATAGATCACTTGATTTTTTTCTTAATCACTATGAAGACAAAACCATAGCTCAGCCAGTTCATGAAATATGTCTCATCATTATGTTAAGACTCATATACTTTGTGTGTATCATCCACAATTTCAGAAAAGTCTGATGTTAAAAGTTTGAATTATGAAATAGACTTCTAACCTTTTATTCTCTCTAACTGCTTTGTCTCCCTTCTTCCAAGAGATAGTTGGTTTTGGAGATCCTTGAGGTTTGCACTCTATGATGACTTCTTGGTCTTTGGGAATAATTATTGTTTTCTTCAGTTGATTCAGTGCAAAAGTGGGAGCTGAAGCTATAAAAAAGAAAAGGTTAATTCTACCAGAAGCAATGACAATAACTTCTAATGGATGATTCACCGAGATTGGGCAATTTTACCTTTGGAATGCATTTTTAATAAAATCATAAGATATCTACACATATAAAAAGCACTAATTTGAAATTTAATTTAATTATTGCTTCATAGATATCTTATTGGCTGTCCTTTCTTTTACCAGGTTCTTACAATTGTGGGGCCTACAGACAAAGGTTGTTTCAAAGAATGAGATGCTTTAATTAAACTTTAATTGTGTAAGTTTAATGATCACCTTGGGCAAAAGGTGAAGGGGTTAAACATGTTTCTGTTTGGGGCTTCCTTTGGAAAAATGGAGGCTATCTGTGAAGAAGGCAATCCTGTGTCACCTGCTTCTAATCTCTGAGTCTTGATGCATATTTTACTTAATAATGTGTATCTGTGTGTGTGTTCAGGCTCTCAGTCATGTCCAATAGTTGCAACACATAATTTTCCAGGCAAGAATACTGGAACAAGTTGCCATTTTCTACTCCAGGGGATCTTCTTGACCCAGGGATGGAACTGGGATCTCCTGCACCTCCTGCATTGTCAGGAAGCTTCTTTAGCACTGGGCCACCTGAGAAGTCCATTTAAATAGTATACAAAACTAAATGTAGAGTTTTAAGAAATACAGTTTTAAGAATTAATAATTTAAATTTCAACTCATTGGTTGCAATTATTCACCTAGGCCTGAGCATTCATTAATATTCATTTTGTATTACTAGATTTTTATTATTAGTTTTCATTTAAACTTCCCAAGACATTCCAGTGCAGATCAGTCACTCAGTCATATCCAACTATTTGTCACCACCCGGACTGCAGCATGCAAAGCTTGCTACACCACCAAATCCTGGAGCCTACTCAAACTCATGTCAAGTCCATCAGTGATGCCATCCTACCGTCTTATCCTATGTCATCACCTTCTCCTCCTGCCTTCAATCTTTCCCAGAATCAGGGTCTTTTCAATGAGTCAGCTCTTTCCATCAGGTGGCCAAAGTATTGGAGTTTCATCTTCAGCATCAGCCCTTCCAATGAATATTCAGGACTGATTTTCTTTAGGATGGACTGGTTGGATCTCCTTGTAGTCTAAGGGACTGTCAAGAGTCTTCTCCAACATCATAGTTCAAAAGCATCAATTCTTTGTTGCTCAGCTGTCTTTGTATTCCAACTTTCACACCCATACACGACTACTGGAAAAACCATACCTTTGACTAGATGGACCTTTGTTGGCAAAGGAATGCCCCTGCTTTTTAATATGCTGTCTAAGTTGATCATAGCTTTTCTTCCAAGGAGCAAGTGTCTTAATTCATGGCTGCAGTCAAAGTCTCACTGTTTCCACTGTTTCCCAATCTATTTGCCATGATGTGATGGGACCAGATGCCGTGATCTTACTTTACTGAATGTTGACTTTTAAGCCAACTTTGTCACTGTTCTCTTTCACTTTCATCAAGATTCTCTTTAGTTCTTCACTTTCTTTCATAAGGGTGGTGTCATCTGCATATCTGAGGTTGTTGATATTTCTCCCAGCAAACTTGATTCCGGCTTGTGCTTCTTCCAGCCCAGCACTTTGCATGATGTACTCTGCATATAAGTTAAATAAGCATGGTGACAATATACAGCCTTGATGTACTCCTTTCCTGATTTGGAACCAGTCTGTTGTTCCATGTCCTGTTCTAACTGTTGCTTCTTGACCTGAATACAGAGTTCCTAGGAGTCAGGTCAGGGGTTCTGCTTATTCCCATCTCTTTAAGAATTTTCCATAGTTTGCTGTGATCCAAACAGTCAACAGCTTTGCCATAGTCAATAAAGAAGAAGTAGGTATTTTTCTGGAACTCTCATGCTTTTTCCATGATCCAACAGATGCTGGCAGTTTGATCTCTGGTTCCCCTGCCTTTATAAGCCCACCTTGAACATCTGGAATTTCATGGTTCTTGTACTGTTGAAGCCTGGCTTGGAGAATTTTGAGCATTACTTTGCTAGCATGTGAGATGAGGACAACTGAATGATAGTTTGAGCATTCTTTGGCATTGCCTTTTTTGGGGATTGGGATGAAAACTGACCTTTTCTAGCCTTGTGGCCACTGCTAAGTTTTCCAAATTTGCTGGTATATTGAGTGCAGCACTTTCACAGCATCATCTTTTAGGATTTGAAATAGCTCACCTGTAATTCCATCACATCCACTAGCTTTGTTCATAGTGATGCTTCCTAAGGCCCACTTGACTTTGCATTTCAGGATGACTGGCTCTAGGGGAGTGATCACACTATCGTGATTATATGGATCCTGAAGATCTTTTTTGTATAGTTTTTCTGTCCTTAACTGTGCCCATCTTTCCATGAAATATTCCCTTGCTATCTCTAATTTTCTTGAAGAGATCTCTAGTCTTTCCCATTCTATTGTTTTCCTTTATTTCTTTGCATTGATCACTGAGGAAGGCTTTCTTATCTTTCCTTGCTATTCTTTGGAACTCTGCATTCAAATTGGTGTATCTTTCCTTTTCTCTTTTACCTTTAGCTTCTTTTATTTTTTTGGTCAGCTATTTGTAATGCTTCCTCAGTCAACCATTTTGCATTTCTTTTTCTTGGGGATGGTTTTGATCCCTGCCTCCTGTACAATGTCATGAACTCCCTCTGTGGTTCTTTAAGCACTCTGTCTATCAGATCTAATCCCTTGAATCTATTAGTCAGCTCCACTGTATAATTGTAAGGGATTTGATTTAGGTCCTGCCTGAATGGTCTAGTGGTTTTCCCTACTTTCTTCAATTTGAGTCTGAATTTGGCAATAGGGAGTTCATAATCTCATCCACAGTCAGCTTCCAGTCTCATTTTTGCTGACTGTATAGAACTTCTCCATCCTTGGCTGCAAAGAATATAATCAATCTGATTTTGGTATTGACCTTCTGGTGATGACCATGTGTAGAGTCTTCTCTTGTGTTGTTGGAAGAGGGTATTTGCTATGACCAGTGTGTTCTCTTGGCAAAACTGTTAGCCTTTACCCTGCTTCATTCTGTACTCCAAGGTCAAATTTGCCCATTATTCCAGGTATCTGTTGACTTCTTACTTTTTCATTCCAGTCCCCTATAATGAAACAGACATCTTTTGGGGATGTTTGCTTGTTCTAGAAGGTCTTGTAGTTCTTCATCGAACTGTTCAGCTTCATCAGCATTAGTGGTTGGAGTATAGACTTGGATTACTGTGATATTGAATGGTTTGCCTTAAAAACGAACAGAGATGATTCTGTCGTTTTTCAGATTGCATCCAAGTACTGCATTTCAGACTCTTTTGCTGACTATGATGGCTACTGTATTTCTTTTAAGGGAGTCTTACCCACAGTATTAGATATAATGGTCATCTGAGTTAAATTCACTCATTCCAGTCCATTTTAGTTCACTGATTCCTAAAATACTGAACTAAAGAATATGTGAAAAAATAAATAAGCAAACAAAAAAAGGAGACACCTTTACATCTAACAGAGAACCTGGAAAATATCTGTACAAGTTTACTGTATCTTAAACATTTATTTATGCCAATCTGAAAATCTTATGAATAGTTCATTTGTGTTTTATGTTCATTACATAGAAGTATAGCATAATTATACTTAGCACATAACACATAACATTAAAAGATATCTAATATTTTAGCATAGCACATAACATTAAAAGATATCTATGCATCACAAACAGAAAAAGGTATCAACTTAGATGAGTTAAGAAATTGAAAGAAAAATTTAGGAATTTATAGAAAGATAACATATTTGGTTGCCTACTGGGGATATATCTTATTAAAGGTAATTTTGATAACATATTTTTGAATAAGAAAGGAACCCATTTGAGAGTGTTTCTGGATAAACTATTGATTAGGTGAGTGTGGAATCAGTTTTTAAATTCAGAAATACAGGTGTATGAGCTAACGAGAAAGTAAATATTTTTTGATTGGTTAGGACGTAAGACATTGAAACATGGACTCCTGTATCAATATTGGATGGATTTGTTACAGTGTGAGGAAATTTCAAATATAAACATTCATAATTCAAGTTGATTTACGGCATTTTATATTTAACTGATATATGAAAGGTGCATTTCAGACTCCAAGATCTTGGGTGTTTCTGTGAATGTTGTGCTTTGGGTCAGTGGGAAGTACACAACACACTCAGGCCTTTGCCGACTTCTAATAAATGGTGTGTTAATGTCATCTAAGTCTCTCTCTTTGTGTTATAATTATCCCAGAACCAAAATTTAGAACATCTTGAGTGTGAGAAAAAGGAAAATCGATTCCAGTGCCCTAAAGAGGCTCAATTTGGTAGCCTGTTCCCCTGGGCTGAATTTTTCTTGTAGGAAAGTGTGAAGTAGTGCTAGTGTTCTGGGTATATTCCAGAGTGTAACCCTATGAGCTTCCTGTGTCTGGCTTTAGGGGGGCTCTCATCAACCTGTTAAGGTGGTAACATCTCTTCAACAGAGGATGCTTTCTTGGGCGTCCTGCATTGCAGGAGCCACATACCTACTGTTAGTAGGAGCAGCTTGGGAAAACATTAAGCATTGCTATGTCGATAACCTACATTCTGATCCTCTACCCTTATGACAATTTTCCTTGAAAGTTAGCATATTTTTCTTATGTGATTTTTTTAAAGCCATAGAAAAGATATATTGTGTAAGTCTGTTAGGATTAAAACTAAAATTAAAGAAAGTAAAACTTATGGCCATATAACCTTATCTCCCAAAATTTAAAAAGTACATATCAGCAAGGCATAGTATTTCTTTTTAAAAGATAAAATAGGTTTTTACAATCACATCATAAACCTTCAGCATAGTAAGAATTACAGCATGAGAAGAAGCCACACTTCTTATTCATTTAGTTAGAAACGGCATACCTAAAATCTTCAGCTCAGCACTTGCATAGATGGTTCCGTATTTATTTTCAGCCAGACACTGATACATTCCAGCATCTGATTGATTCACGTTGTGGATCATCAATACTCCATTAACCATCTCAACCCTACTCTGTAATGGAATAAGAAAAACAGATATAGAAATTGAATGCTTCACACGTATTTTACAGTTATTCTCTCCTAGATTTAAAAAAAAAAAAAAAAAGCCCTCCAACGTTGAAACCCCATGGACTATAGCCCTCTGACTCCTCTCCATGGAATTCTCCAGGCAAGAATACTGGAGTGTGTAGCTGTTCTCTTCAGGGGATCTTCCTGACCCAGGCACTGAACCTAGGTCTCCTGCATTGCAGACAGATCCTTTACCATCTGAGTCACCAGGAAGCCCCCACAATTAATACAGTTGAACATTATTTCACTTTAGGAAGACAAATTTACTATACATTATTCTAATGTAAAATATAGCTATGTCTTGATCAGAAAAGAAACTATATCTTCTTATAGTTATTTTTATGAATTTTACTTTTGATTATATTTTAAAATAAGCAGTTTTTGTTTGATATACTGGTCAAGCTAATGAAATACAGTCATCAGATAATGCTTTTATTGAATTTATTTTACAAATAAGAAGCTGGAGTTCAAATGTAGAAAGGATTGAGACTGCATATATGTAGGATCAAAGTTAAATACAGTCCACTAAATTCCAAGAATCTCTTTATTATACTGATCTAGTCAGATGCTTGTCTTTTCTCTCACTTCCCAAAACAATGACATAGATTTAAAAAAAAAAAAAAGCAAAAAAATGTCCTATAACTGGAATCTGTATAAAAATTTTGGTCAGAAAATGTAAATTTCATTATCAGATGAAATAATACAGAAGACAGAAAATAAAGCACATGCAAACTGAGGTAAACTGAGGCCAAGAGCACACTTCGAAAACAAATTTTAAATTTAAAATGTTGTTTAACAATTAGATATCTTATCTATTTAACATCAAGCAAATCATTCTTTTAATTTTAGTGAGCAGTGCTTTGCTTATCTGTCAACAGAGATGCCAAGTAATTTGATATCATTCTTTAAATGAACCCATTCATTCATTCGACTATTATCTGCCAGTGGAATTTACTGAGTTGGTGAGAGTAGACAGTATAACCAGCACACGCCCCTTCCCAAGGTTTATGTGATATCCCAAGAAGATTAGAGAGACAGGCAATAAGCCAACGTCCCAGGATTCCCACTCCCTCCCTCTCAGTTTCCTTTAACAGTTCTCCTACTCTTTCTATTTGTGTCGGTCTTTCTCTGTAACTATGCTTTGGCTTTAGTGATTTTAGAATAAGGGAATATTGGAGTTGGATGTGACTGTGGAGGTGATAGGATCCAATTTTTTGATTTTACAAAAGGGCAAATCAAGGTCCAAAAAGTCAAACTACAGAAACGAGATCCTTTGCTAATGGCAGAACTTGGGCAGAAACTGTGTTTGGAATTTCAGTTTATACACTTCCCCTCCCTTTTGTCCACAGGTAATAAAGTAAGACAGTAGGTGTTGCGAGAGGGCATCAGAGGGCAGACACACTAAAACCACAGTCACAGAAAACTAGCCAATCTGATCACAGGACCACAGCCTTGTCTAACTCAGTGAAACTAAGCCATGCCATGTGGGGCCACCCAAGACGGTCAGGTCATGGTGGAGAGGTCTGACAGAATGTGGTCCACTGGAGAAGGGAATGGCAAACCACTTCAGTATTCTTGCCTTGGGAACCCCATGGACAGTATGAGAAGGCAAAATTATAGGATACTGAAAGAGGAACTCCCCAGTTCAGTGGGTGCCCAGTATGCTACTGGAGATCAGTGGAGAAATAACTCCAGAAAAAATGAAGGGATGGAGCCAAAGCAAAAACAATACCCAGTTGTGAATGTGACTGGTGATAGAAGCAAGGTCCGATGCTGTAAAGAGCAATATTGCAGAGGAGCCTGGAATGTTAGGTCCATGAATCAAGGCAAGTTGGAAGTGGTCAAAAAGGAGATGGAAAGAGTGAACATCTACACTTTAGGAATCAGTGAACCAAAATGGACTAGATGGGTGAATTTAACACAGATGACCATTAATATTTACTACTGTGGGCAAGAATCCCTTAGAAGAAATGGAGTAGCCATCATAGTCAACAAAAGAATCTGAAATGCAGTACATGGATGCAATCCCCAAAACGACAGAATGATCTCTGTTCGTTTCCAAGGCAAACCATTCAATATCACGATAATCCAAGTCTATGTCCTGACTAGTAATGCTGAAAAAGCTGAAGTTGAACAGTTCTATGAAGACCTACAAGACCTTCTAGAACTAACACCCCAAAAAGATGCCCTTTTCATTATGGGGTATTGGAATGCAAAAGGAGGAAGTCAACAAATACCTGGAGTGATGGGCAAATTTGGCCTTGGAGTACAGAATGAAGCAGGGCAAAACTAACAGGGTTTTGCCAAGAGAACGCACTGGTCACAGTAAATACCTTTTTCCAACAACACAAGAGAAGATTCTACACATGGACATCATCAGATGGTCAGTACCAAAATCAGATTGATTATATTATTTGCAGCCAAAGACGGAGAAGCTCTATTCAGTCACCAAAAACAAGACCGGAACCTGACTATGGCACAGATCATGAACTCCTTATTGCCAAATTCAGACTTAAACTGAAGAAAGTAAGGATAACCACTAGACCATTCAGGTATGACCTAAATCAAATCCCTTATGACTATACAGTGGAAGCGACAAATAGATTCAAGGGATTAGATGTGATAGAGTGGTTGAAGAACTATGGATGGAGACTCATGACATTGTACAAGAGACAATGATCAAGACCATCCCCAAGAAAAATAAATGCAAAAAGGCAAAATGGCTGTCTGAGGAGATTTTACAAACTGCTATGAAAAGAATAGAAACAAAAGTCAAAGGAGAAAAGAAAAGATATACCCATTTGAATGCGGAGTTTCAAAGAATGCAAGGAGAGATAAGAAAGCTTTCCTCAGTTATCATTGCAAAGAAATAGAGAAAAACAATAGAATGGGGAAGACTGGAGATCTCTTCAAGAAACTTAGAGACACCAAGGGAACATTTCATGGAAAGATGGGCACAATAAGGGACAGAAATGGAATGGACCTAACAGAACCAGAAGATATTAAGAAGAGGTGGCAAGAATACACAGAAAAAACTATACAAAAAAGATCTTCAGGACCTGTATAATCACGATAGTGTGATCACTCACCTAGAGCCAGACATCCTGGAATGTGAAGTCAAGAAGGCCTTAGGAAGCATCACTATGAACAAAGCTAGTGGATGTGATGGAATTACAGGTGAGCTATTTCAAATCCTGAAAGATGATGCTGTGAAAGTGCTGCACTCAATATACCAGCAAATTTGGAAAACTCAGCAGTGGCCACAGGACTGGAAAAGGTCAGTTTCCATTCCAATCCCAAAGAAAGGCAATGCCAAAAAAAAAAAAAAGAAAGAAAGAAAGAAAGAAAAGCAATGCCAAAGAATGCTCAAAATACCACACAATTGCCTTCATCTCACACAGTATCAAAATAATGCTCAAAATTCTCCAAGCCACGCTTCAACTATATGTGAAGTGTGAACTTCAAGATGTTCAAGCTGGTTTTAGAAAAGACAGAGGAACCAGAAATCAAATTGCTAACATCTTTTGGATCATTGAAAAAGAATGAGACTTCCAGAAAAACATCTGCTTTGGCTTTATTGACTATGCCAAAGCCTTCCATTTTGTGAATCAAAACAAACTGTGGAAAATTCTGAAAGAGATGGGAATACCAGACCACCTGACCTGCCTCCTCAGAAATCTGTAGGCAGGTCAAAAAGAAACAGAACTGGACATGGAAAAACAGACTGGTTTCAAATCTGGAAGGAGTACGTCTAGGTTGCATATTGTCACATTGTTCATTTAACTTATATGCTGAATATATCATGAGATTGCTAAACTGGATGAAGGACAAGCTAAAATCAAGATTGCCAGGAGAAAAATCAATAACCTCAGACGTGCAGATGACACCACAGTTTCAGCAGAAAGGAAAGAAGTACTAAAGAGCCTCTTGATGAAAGTGGAAGAAGATAGTGAAAAAGTTGGATTAAAACCCAACACTCAGAAAACTAAGATCATGACATCTGGTCCCATCACTTCATGGCAAATAGATGGAGAAACAATGGAGACAGTGACGGACTTTATTTTTTGGGGTTCTGAAATCACTGCAGATGGTCACTACAGCCATGAAATTAAAAGACACTTGCTCATTGGAAGAAAACGTATGACAATCCTAGACAGCATATTAAAAAGCAGAGACATTACTTTCCTGACAAAGGTCTGTCTAGTCAAAGCTATGGCTTTTCCAGTAGTCATGTATGGATGTGAGAGATGGACTATAAAGAAAGCTGAGCGCCAAAGAATTGATGCTTTTGAACTGTGGTGTTGGGGAAGATGCTTGCGAGTCCCTTGGACTGCAAAGAGATCCAACCAGTCCATCCTAAAGGAAATCAGTCCTGAATAATCATCAGAAGGATTGATGCTGAAGCTGAAACTCCAATACTTTGATTATCTGATGCAAAGAACTGACTCATTGGAAAAGGCCCTGATGCTGGGAAAGATTGAAGGTGGGGGGAGAAGGGGATGACAGAGGATGAGATGGTTGGATGGCATCACCGACTCAATGGACATGAGTTTGAGTAAACCCTGGGAGTTGGTGATGGACAGGGACGCCTGGGTTGCTGCAGTCCATGTGGTTGCCAAGAGTTGGACAAGACTGAGCTACTGAACTGAGCTGAAGGACACAAGATAAACTGATTAGAATCAAATGGGTCCAAGATAGTAGACAAATTGACTTTGATCCTGATCCTCAATCAGCAAGGATAATGAAACACCCACAGGCACCATGACAGTTCCAATCACTGTCAAAAGACCAAGGAGTGCATGATGACACAATTCCTGGAAATCTCCACCTCTTCCAAAAAATAGTTGCAATAATCCTCCCACTTAATAGCATGTGAAATACCCAGCCTATAAAAACTAACCACACCACATTTTGCACTGCACTTGCCCTCTGTGATGGCCCAGGCTCTGTCTGTGGATTGTACTTCTCTCTGACTCTGAATAAATCCATTTCTTAACCATCACTTTATCTCTCACTGAATTCTTTCTGTGGTGGGACATCAAGAACCTGAGCTTCATTCAGTCCTGAAACCAGGTATTGTGGGTTTTGGCTGGGTTAGAATCAGAGCCCATAGGTTCCAGTCCCAATCTGTGGTAAACAGTTTCCATCTCAGGCAAGCAACTTTATATTTTGATTATCCAACCATCTTCAAAGTGACAGCAGTTGGTTAGATGATGTCTAAAAGTCTGCTAAAAATGGCAATAAGTTAATGATAATCACTGATATTTTCCTATGAACTTATAGGATTGAATAAAATTTGAAGAAGTGATGTATTACCAGAAAGTAATGAGGCAATTAAAATTAAAAGAAAACTATTTTTTTCAACAACAACAAAAAGAACCCCATACAAAAACATGGGCAGAAGACCTAAATATATGTTTCTCCAAAGAAGACAGACAGATGGCCAACAGGAACATGAAAAAATTTTCAAAATCGCCAATTATTAGAGAAATGCAAATCAAACTACAGTAAGGTACAGCCTCACACCAGTCAGAATAGCCATCGTTAAAAAGTCTACAACTAACAAATGCTGGAGACGATGTAGAGAAAAGGGAACTCTTCTACAATTGGTGGGTATGTAAGTTGGTGCAACCACAGTGGAAAACTAAAAATACAATTACCATATGATCAAGCGATCCCACTCCTGGGCATATATCTGGACAAAACTGTAATTCAAAAAGATCTTTGCACACCTATGTTTATAACAGCACTATTCGCAATAGCCAAGACATGGAAATAACCTAAATGTCCTTCAACAGATAAATGGGTAAAGAAGATATGGCACATCTATACAATGGAATATTCAGCCAGCAAAATAATGTCATTTGCAGAAACATGGATGCAAGTAGAAATTATCATACTAAGGAAAGCAAGTCAGAAAAAGACAAATACCATATGATATCACTTATATGTGAAATCTAAAATATTACACAATGAATCTATTTATGAAGTAAAACCAGAATCATAGAGATAGGGAGCAGATTAGTGCTTGCCAAGGGGGCGGAAGTTGGAGGACAGATATAGTGGGAGGTTGGGGCTAGCAGATGTAAATTTTTATACATAGAATGGATAAGCAACAAAGTTCCACTGTACAATACATAGAATTATATTCAATATCCTATGATAAACCACAATGGAAAATAACATTTTAAAAAGAATATATATATATGTATAATTGAATCACTGTGCTGTACAGAAATAACACAACATTGTAAATCAACTATAGTTCAATAATTTCTTTAAAGAGTAAAAATTAATTTGTTTATATGTTATCTTTCTCATTCTGAATATAAGGGATAAATAAGAAATGGCTTTCAATAAGACTAAAGGAAGTTAGTTTGTCCTTTGTGAAATTTCACAAAAATATCACTGGAACATGTTAATGGTTACCGACAGTACCTGAGGCAAGAGGGGCACTCCATTCTTCAGCCAGCGGTAGGTGGGTCTGGGTTTTCCAGTCGCCTTACATTCCCATCGCAGAGGGCTCCCACTGTCTAACTGAGTATCATTCAGTTTTTCTGCCCAGTGTGGATATGCTGTAAGAGTTTAAGGAAAAAAGGGTGATTTCACTTCTCAACGTTTCACAAAAATCAAGATTTTATGGAATGTCAATGAATTCATGAGCATTAAATATGTTATCAATTCATGTAACTTGGATTTTGGAAGAAACTTGGCATTGCATTACACAGAGAACTCTATTTCCTGTGTAAAAATATAACCATGATGATATTTTAATAATTTGAAACACTTTTTAATCTAAATGAAGCATATATTTCTGTTCTTGTTGTTGTTTAATTTTAAAATATCTCCTCTTCAAAAGGCACTTTTTTCTTATCTTTTTAAAAATTTATTTATTTTTAATTGAAGGATAATTGCTTTAAAATATTGTGTTGTTTTATGCCATATATCAACATGAATCAGTCATAAGGGGGAGAACATACAGGTCTTCTTGTTTTACCCTCCTTAGAGTAAGTAGTAGATTCTTCCCATGGAGAGCATGGGAACTTGTTTAGAAAGCAGTCTTTCTAAACTAAAAATCTTTCTTAACAAGACACATCTCTTCTTCCAAATATTGAGCAGAATTAGCACAGTTTTAAGTAATATAACATGCCCATTTACTGAATAACTGTTCTGCTTTTTGTTTCCTAATAAAGCCTGAATTGTTTCAAAAAATAATTTGTAAATTCAAGTATCATTTGATATAAAATTGTTCTATATTTGCTGGCATTGTAGTATACACACATGTATTTATATGTACAAGTTTTCAATACTCTGTTTCTTTCTCAAAAAAAATAATATTCCAAACGTATGAAATTTATAAAGTGTGAAAAGTGAAAGTCGCTCAGCTGGGTCCGACTCATTGCCACCCCATGGACTACACAGTCCATGGAATTCTTTAGGCCAGAATACGGAAACAGGTAGCCTTTTCCTTCTCCAGGGCATCTTTCCAACCCAGGGGTCGAACCCAGGTTTCCCACATTGCAGGGGGATTCTTTACCAGCTGAGCCACAAGGGAAGCCCAAGAATACTGGAGTGGGGAGCCTATCCCACCTCCAGCGGATCTTCCCGACCCAGGGATCGAGCTGGGGTCTCCTGCATTGCAGGCGGATTCCTTACCAACTCAGCTGTCGGGGCAGCCATGATTAAAGCGTCTTTCCTTCATTGACATTTTTCTCAAGTTTGAATCTCTGAATCTCTCTCATCTATTTGTTTCATCCCTCTGCCCCTTTCCCTTCTGGCAATCACCCATTTGTTCTCTGCGTCTATTACTCTGTTTCAGTTTCGATAGGTGTTTCATTTGTTTTGTTTTTCAGATTCCACACATAAGTAAAATCACATGATGCTTGTCTTTCTCTGACTTATTTTCCTCAACAGCTCCCTCTGGGTCCACCCATGTTATCACAGATGGTAAGATTTCATTTTTTTTTTTTTAAAGCCTGAATATCATTCCATTTTATATGTATGTGTGTGTGTGTGTGTGTATGTGTGTATTCCAAAATGTCCAATGCTTTTTCATACCTATTGAGATAATTATAAGATTTCTTTCTTTGATTTGTTAAAGTGGTATAACACAATAATTTGCACCCTTGGGATAAGCCCCACTAGATCATTGTGTGACCATTGTAATGTATTGTTGAATTCAATTTGCTAGTTTTATTTTTTGGTGTTGAGGATGTGTCCATCTGTGTTCATCAGTGGTATTGGCCTGTAAATTTTTTGTGCTATATTTTTGTCTGGTTTTAGTATGAGGTGATATTGTAGAATGAGTTCAGACGTATTCCTCTGCAAATTTTTGGAAGAATTTGAAAAGGAGGGCTGTTAACTTTTCTTTAAATTTTTGGTAGACTTCACCACCTGTGAGGCCATCTGGTACTATACTTTGGTTTGCTGGGAGTTTTAATTTTATTTTATTCAATTACTGATGTAACTTCATTACTGGTAATTGATCTTTTCATATTTTCTATTTATTCCTGATGGTTTCTTGGGAAATTGTACATTTCCAGACACTTATTCCTTTTTTCTACATTGTCCATTTTATTGGCATATAGTTGTTTGTAGTAATCTCTTATGATCCTTTGTCTTTCTGTGGTATTGGCTGTGACTTCTCTTCGTTCAGCTTTAATTTTATTTGCATGGACCCTCTTTTTCTTGATGAGTCTAGCTACAGTGTTATCAGTTTTACTTATTTCAAAGTACCAGCTCTTCTTTTCACTGGCCTTGTTTACTGTTCTTAGTCTCTACTTCACTTATGTCTGCCCCGTTTGCTGCCAGGCCCTGCCTCATGCAGTGGCTAGAGGTGCGTGGGACTGGGTCCCAGCGTGACTGGCTGCATGGCCGGGTCGCAAAAGACTCGCGCTGACCCACTGGTTGGCAGGACTGTGTCCTGAGCTAGCTGGCTATGTCCTGGGAGTCCTGGGACTGGTGCCAGCCTACTGATGGTAGGGACTGGGTCCTGATCCAGCTGGCTGCCAGGCCACTGGTGGATGGGAAAACCTTTAAGGTATAAATTCTCTGGAATGCTTTCCTTGAATCAATCCTGTAGAAAGTAGTGAACTCTGCTCCTGTAGGCTTTATCATAGCAGACAGCATGCTCTGCTCTCTGTGGGATTTGCTTTTCATCTAATTCAGTCAACCAAGAATTTCCTCAAATCTCTATTGTTAGCTTGTAGTGCAGTAATATCATTTAATAAACAGTAGCTGAATCAATGAGTGAATGAGCAAAATGTGCATGGCATAGTAAGTTTGGTTCGAGGGCTGAATTTTTAAAGGAATTTATTTTTCTTTTACAAATAATAAAAACAAAACATGTTGAAATAATATTTTAATATTTCAAAATATTTTGCAGCATCCCTATGAAGGACATTAAGTTTTTTAGATGAACTGATCTTGAATACAGTGACAGTTATAGTTTCTAGCAGATTCAGCTTAATATGCAATTTGTTTAATTTCATGTTGTAAGGATCTGTATTTTCTTGTATCAGTGCTCTGACAGTTTCCCTCAATTTAGTGTTCTAATCTGGAAAATAAGAATAGTATCACTTACCTTTTATGTATAATATGCATTATAAAAGCAAATATGAAAAGTATAATTTGCTATTTATAGAAGATGAGATTGTAGATATTTTGGAAGTAGATTTTCCCAATTCTTACACACAACCTGGTTGTCTCTGAAATTTTTGGAAAATATAAACATTTGTAAGCCATGAAGGTTATGTATCATACAGATGCAGTAATTTAGTGTAGGACCAGCAAAGTTTTTGTGTAAAAGATGGGATAGAAAGTATTTGACACTTTGCTAGTCAGTTGATCTTTATCTCAACAACTTAACTCTGCCTTAGCAGTGCTTAAAGCTGATGCAGGCAATATGCAAACAAATGGGTGTCACTGTGTTTCAAAAACTTTTTATTTACAAAAAAAAAAAGGACAGCTGGTAGAATTTGGTTCATGGGCAATAAATTGTGACTCCTGATTCAGGCCAAGGGCAAGAATAAGTTAATAAAGGTTATAAGGTTTGCAACATCAGATGACAGCTTTAGTGCTGGGAAAATATTTTTAAGGTTAGCAATTACCTATGCTATAAAAAGAACCTGACAATTCCTCATTTGTTTTTAATTTAAAGCATTTCTGTGTATAGGGTAATTTTACTCAGTGATTTACCATACAAAAGAAGCATGGTATATGTATCTAACAATGTTTAGTTCAAATTGCATTTTCAGTTTGACTCTTGTGACCAGGGCATCAAACTTGGTTGAGAACACTTACTGTATACTTGCAACTGTCCACGAAAGGAATTTTTTCCACGTGAGTTTTCAGCTCTGCACTCATATGTGCCTGCATCGTCCAGCTGCACATTGGGTATTTCCAGTACTGCCTGAGATTTACGCAGACGTGACTTACTAGGAATATAACCGTTAACCTTCATCCATGTGATTGTTGGAACTGGGCTACAATAAGGAGTAAAAATGCCATTAATACACTTTCCACTATTAGGAACATAGATTCTGTTATCTGGTAATTTAAGCACTTAATAGGCTGAGTGCAATAAAGTGTAATCACAATTAAGAACCATGTGATGGTTGATATACTTCAATTTCCATGTGGATTGTCTGCTTATAAGTTAGATTACAAGGAAAGGAAGTTTCCTTTTCTTTTGTATTTCAGAAAAGCAATTCAAAGGTTATATTTTACACATATATATGCTATGCTTTACTTTTTTAAAACTGTGTAAAATTGTTTAAATGGTGAAAGTAATTTGGAGAAATTTACAAAAGTAATATATACTTAACATAAGAAGTTGAACAAAAGAATCATGAGTTAAATGAATTAAGAACTCATTCTTATTCCAACCCCATCAAATATCTTCTGCAGAAGGAAATAAAGTTAGCAAGCAATTTCCTGCCTTGTCTCTATGATAAATATATAAGCACATATAACAAATTTTTTATTAATAAAAATCAAATCCAAGATCAACTGCTGACTTATTCTGTTTAATAGCTATATATTATTCCCTTGTGTAGATGTATCAGAATTTTAATCAAACATTCTCTATAGTTAGACATTCAGTGTAGCCCCCAAATTTTTCCTTTTTTTTTTTTTTTGCTACTAAGGAATAACATTGCTAAATGTAACTTTGTACATATATATCATATGCCATTGCTTTTTATTTTCTACTGCAGACATTCTCAAAAGCGGAATTGATAGACACAAGGGCATGCCCATTTTTCATTTTAATAAGTGCTGCCAGATTGTTTTCAATAATATAGTAGCATTTTCCACATCTATCAGTAATACATGAGACTGTTTTCCCATATCCTTGCCACCACATTATGTGATCAATCTGTTTAATTTTTATCAGTATTGATAGGTAAAAAATGACATTTTGTTACAATTCCTCTGAACTCTAACAAAGTTGAACATCCTTTCATAATTATATTAGCTATTTGAATCTGCTTCACTATGAATTGTTTATGTTATTTTTCAACTATTTCTTTCACTTTTCTGTTTGCAGTGTTTAATTTCTTAGGATTCTTTATGTATTAGGGCCATTATGAGTTTGTTTACCAGAAAAATTCTTTTTCGGTATACTGATAGTTTATGATGGCATCTGCAATAAATTTTACAGATATTTTTGGGAGAAACAAGCATCTGTAGGTTTTTTTCATGACTTCAGAATTTTTGTTTGTTTAAAAATTATCTGTAAACCCAAGTATGTATCCAAATTTCCTTCAATATTTCTGGTAGCTTTCTTAAAAATTATTTTTAAGCATTTGGATTTTTAATCCATCTGGACTATATTCGTGGTTTTGGTGTGAGGTGGGAAATGCAACTAATTATTTTAGAATCACTAAAACTCCTTTTCCAACAAGTTTTGGAATGTTACCTTTGCTATATAATTGGTTCTTACATGCTTAAATCTGATTCAGTCTTCACAGCTCTGTTCCACTGAGTTATTTATTACTATCTACATTTAATGTATTTTATGCTCTGGATTCTGTCTACTTTTTCAGTTCAATTTCTCACTATTCCTTCCACATCTCCTGACCCAGAAACACATCTTTGTGTGTTTCGAATCATATCTGTTAAAGTCCTACTAATATTTTGAGAGCCATTCTAAATGCCTCCTCTACTGTAAAGTCTCCTTATTTGTGTAGTCTTCTGGGATATTTTCCTTTTAAACATCAAAGTGATTTGTATATACTACTTGGACCTCTTATAACATTTTATAATTGCGAAATGTAGGATATTTTTTCACTAATTTTCCTGACAGGAGTAATAGCAGTGTTAAATTTTAGAAACCATGCCTCATTAAACACAGTGTTTATTTTGTAACATCTTTCTTATGTGTTTCTTAGGTATAAGAGAATTGAAATTGCTGCATTAGAGTTGACAAGTTGTTCTTCTTTGTTTAGGTACATATATCAACATCTAGGAAAACTGAATATTGCATTTTCAAATAACCCTTATGTTGGCCTAATACATCATTCTTTTAATATGTACAAGAATTGATTTGTTATATTTTTAAATTTAGTATTTCTGCATCTATGTTCAAAAGTGAGACTGTCTGTACTCATTAGGTTTGCTGGTTTACATGTGCACATACTTGTTAGTGAGTTGGTGGTTGCTTTATTTATAAGCTAGCATTGACAAAATTGGAATCATAGTGATGGGTAATAAATAGCTTGGTAAACATGCCAGAATATTTGCATCTCCTATTGTGATAGCTTCGATAGTAGAGAAATTGTATGCTCCTTAAGAAACTGATCAGACTGATAAAAATAAAGTCATCCCCATCATAAGTGGGGTTAGTTTTTGAAAGCGTTTTCAATTTCTTCTGTTTTCTTTAATTATTTGTATTTAAATTTCTGTTTGTGTCTTCTTTGGCAATTCATGTTTCCCTATCAAATTCATGTTTCCCTATCAAATTCATGTTTCCTTATGAAATCAAAGTATTTCACCCATGAGTTCAATATTTTAGCAATGTTATATAAATGCTAATTTTTTAAAAGTTTAAGAAGCTCTTCTATTATAAGTGGTCACACGTTGTAGTAGAAGTTAAATGTGTTTTCGACTGTCAGACTTTTCAGAACAAAAGTAACTGTGCAACTACATCTTTTCTGAGTTGCATTTTCCATCTCACACCAAAACCATGAATATAGTCCAGACGGATTAAAGATCCAAATGTTTAAAAATAATTTTTTAAGAAGTCATGAAGTTTTTAAAAAAACCATCTCATCATTTTTTTAACATCTTGTTTTGTTTTTCCAGTTACCCCAAATGTAAAATATGGTGGAAATAATAGTTCCTATTTCAGAAATAATAGTCCCGATTTCAGAGGGTAATTATAAACATTTGATAAGTTAAAGTACTTGGCACAGAACAAGGAGGCAAAAAATATATATATACTTGCAATACTGTGATGATTATATTTGTATCTTCTTTACAACGTTAATGGTATGAGTGTATGCTTTCTCAACTTCCTCTCCTTTTAACCCTGCACCTTGGTTAGGAACATGGTCTGCCAGGGAATACAATTTACATTCAAATAAAATTAAAACACACATATGTTATATGACCATCAGAAAGTAATCTAGGTTCTATGAATCTGGTTTCCCCATTTTAAAATGAAAATACTATTTGTTCCTTCAGAATGCATGTATCTTAAGGGCACTGGCATTATTTCTCTTGTTCAGGAGTATATCCACACTGTCTCATAGAGTGCTGGGCACATAGTTGGTAGTTAAATGTTTATGAAGTAAATTAATGAATGATTCTCATAATATGATTTTGAGCATTAAATGAGCTAAGTTCTTGTAAATTACTTAGATAAATATATTGCAAATAGTGAATACCCAATAAATGTTACCTATAATGATAAGCTTTGTCAGAGGTTTATCTATTTTATTAGTCTTTAAAATATGTATTTTGAACTTTTAATTATTTTTGTGATTTAATTTGTGCTTTCTAATTTTTATTTCCTTATCCCTTTTTATTGATTAGCATATTATTCCACTCTAACTTTAACTTGAATTTTTTATGTGCAAATTTTTTATGGTTGATAGTAAAAGTATGGCTGCTTTTTCCTCTGGTATCAAAGGTAGCCACGTGCCTTATGCTCTGACACACAGAGAGAGTGACCTGTACAATTTTGGTTTTTTGTAACTTGTTTAATCGACATTTGTAGTTAAAATATAGAATGAATTATTGTGAAAGTTATATGTCCATTGAGAAAAAAAAGGTATGCTTTATTTTGGGTAAGATTTTAAAATTAGCTTTCAGATAGTTTTTATTAGTTGTGTAATTCAAGTATTGTTCATTGAAAAAATTTGAATGAAGTTATTAGTACATTGAATTAAGTGGAAGCAAACAAGTCAGAAGTAAATTAGACTTTGAAATGAGTATATTGTCAAATAAATCAAGAGTCTGAACTTAAAACAATAGCAAAACTTTGAGCATTTGAACCTTAAAACACATTGTAAGCTTCCAAACGTAGATACAGGAGTTTGGGCTACAAAATCTGTACAGGGCCCAAATAGGGAACACTCCTCAATACACATTTCAATTGTGTCCATGAAATAAAACAAACAAGAAAAATGTCAGAGAGTGAATCCAAGGTACCCTGGAAGATAGACAAGATAATTTCTTACAAAGAGTAATATCAGAGTCTAACCATGAACTCTCCCATTCTTCCACAACCAAACCCTCCTCCATACAATCACACAAAAAAGAGAGAGGCTGTGCAATGAATGACCTTACAGGAGACTTTTATACTTGAGATGGATAGTTTGAGACTCCTTCTTTTTTCTGAGTAGAATATTTTTCTTGTGAATAATAAACTTATATTTTAAGTGCACAAGTTACAGAATCAAGAAGATCCATATCTAGAACTGATGGAGATCTGGAAATTTGGACTTGAGAGTATGCAGAGGCCAGATGAGATAGAGTACATTCAATGTGAGGAAAGAACTGAAATATTCCTCAGAAGAATAGATTGGCTAAGTGTTCAAAAAACACATTTTCCTTTCTTCCTGAACATATAATTACCTCATTTTTCCATCTTCCCTTAGGTAGGGGCATGGAATTGAGCTCTGGCCAGTGGACAGAAAGATGTACCAAACATGATCTAAGAACCAGTTTTCTACATGATCTTCCATTTTCACTTTTCCTGGATCTGCTTGATAGATGTTACTGTCAATGGTAACTCTTGCAGAAAAATGTTTATTTTGTGTATATATAAAATGTTTTCATGTCTTTGAGGATGGAAGAATTAACTTTTTAAACAATATATATTAGAGAAGTATAACTTTCCAAAACTGAACCAGGAAGAAATAGAAGATCTTAACAAACCCATCACAAGCAAGGAAATCGAAACTGTAATCAGAAATATTCCAGCAAACAAAAGCCCAGGACCAGATGGCTTCACAGTTGAATTCTACCAAAAATTTAG